GGGATTAGAGGCTGGGTTTGGGGTTCAGATGGGGTTTAACGGCTGGGTTTGGTGTTCGGATGGGGTTTCACGGCTGGGATTGGGGTTCAGATGGGGATTAGCAGCCGTGTTTGGGGTTCAGATGGGGATTAGCAGCTGGGTTTGGGGTTCAGATGGGCATTAGCAGCTGGGTTTGGGGTTCATTTTGTCAGAGGCGCCCACTTCCCAGTAAAGAGCTAAAACAAGGTTGGAGACAACAAGGCGTAGAGCTGGATGAACACAGCAGGTCAAGCAGCATCATAGGAGCAGGAAGGCTGACGTTTCAGGAGTTGGGAGAGGACAATGTGGCTCAGACTCTGTACAATAGCTGCTGCTGGAGTTGAGGGAAGTATTTTCTGAAAGGATTGACAGTGGAAAGAAAAATATTCTTTATTAACTCTTTTTGAAACAATCTTCCCAATGACAGCCAAAGAAAGTGGATCCTGATCAAACAACCATGATAAGGATCCCAGAGCGTCTCCAGCTGGGATCACTGGAACAGCTTCACCCCATTGAGGCAGTAAATTATTTCTGTGAACTCCAACTCCAGCAGAAACTCAAGGTGATGATGGCAGCAGAAAAGGAGGAAGCTGTAAAATCCCAGAGAGACAGGGAGAAAATGAAGAACACCGTGCTCTTCCTGCCAAAGATCCAGAGGTCAGTAAGTGGGGGGTTGGGGGGCAATGAGGGACAGTATAACCAGCCAGACTCGGTGGCTCTGAATCAGCGTGGGCCACAAGGGGAATAATCGCACAGATCACAACAGGCCTGAGTCATGGGAATTTTGCTTTCTATATTTTTCTGCGGGATGTGGGTGTTGCTGGTGGGGCCTTTAAGGTCCATCCATAATTGCCCCTTGAACTGAGAGTCTTGCAAGGACCAATGCAGACATAGTTAACAGTCAACCACACTGATGTGGGTCTGGAGGTAAGGATGGTAGATTTCCCTCCCTAAAGGATGGATTTTTACAACAATCGATTATTTTATTAATAGATTTGTAAGTTCCACCAGCTGACGGAAATCTCAAAATTTCATTCATGAGACATGGGTGTCATTGGCTCGGCCGGTATTTATTGCCTGTCCCTAATTGCCCCTTGAGAAGGTGGTGGTGAGGTGCCTTCTTGAACCACTGCAGTCCATGTGCTGTTAGCCTCCAGGACTTTGGTCACTCTGTACCCACATGCCGAGTGTTAACCTGGTTTCCCAGTCCAGTGGTACTATCGCTATTCTAACTTACATGAGAAAGACGGAGGTTGAGGGGGGAAACCTGATTGAGGTCTATAAAATCATGAGAGGTATAGTGAGGGTGGATAGCAAGAAGCTTTTTCCCCCCAGAGTGGGGGACTCAATTACTAGGGGTCACGATTTCAAGGTGAGAGGGGAAAAGTTTAAGGGAGATAAGCGTGGAAAGTTCTTTATGCAGAGGGTGGTGGGTGCCTGGAACGCGTTGCCAGCGGAGGTGGTAGAGGCAGGCACGATAGCATCACTTAAGATGTATCTAGACAGATACATGAATGGGCAGGGAGCAGAGGGATACAGATCCTTGGAAAATAGGTGACAAATTTAAATAGAGGATCTGGATTGGTGCAGGCTTGGAGGGCCGAAGGGCCTGTTCCTGTGCTGTAATTTTCTTTGTTCTTTTATTCCAACATTCCTAGCTACACCAAGAACAATCCTCTGACAGGGTGCTAATGTCCAGCTGTAAAATTGATTTGTTCCTGAGCAGTGAGCATCACTGGGCAGACCAACATTCCTCACCCAAATTACCAGAAAAAATATTATCCACTTGCAAATTCAAATCTGATGAACAGCACTATGTCACAGCTTGTAGGAGTGTGGGCTAGTTGGGTACAGTCAGTACTTTGCTCATTGTGAACCGCCAAAGGGACACGCTGTTTGATTATAACATAGCAGCGCTCCCTCGGCACTGACCCTCCAACAGCGCGGTGCTCCCTCAGCATTGACCCTCCAACAGTGCGGTGGTCCCTCAGCACTGACCCTCCGATAGTGCCCACTCCCTCAACACTGACCCTCCGACAGTGCGGCGCTCCCTCAGCACTGACCCTCCGACAGTGCGGCACTCCCTCAGCACTGACCCTCCGACAGTGCGGCGCTCCCTCAGCACTGACCCTCCGACAGTGCGGCACTGCCTCAGCACTGACCTCCCGACAGTGTGGCGCTCCCTCAGTACTGACTCTCTGATAGCGCAGTATTCCCTCAGTGTGAAAGACTGTGGTGTATTATTTGAAGACGTGAATAAAGCTGCTCCTGCTATCTGCCTCATTCTTGGTGAGGAGATGTGGATTTACTGATGAGACTGATCCAAGCCAGGAATTAGCCTCTGTCTGACTCTTCACTAAACACGTGGTTTGTCCTCATTTGTAGGGAACGAGCTCTCTTGAGACTTGGGGAGACCACCGTGACTGGAAAGCAGCTTGAAAGTAAGTGATGATTGGGCCAGCTGATATCTAACAGCAAATCATTAATGATGGAAAATGGGAATTGATGGACAGAGATCACCAAACTGTTACTGGATGGCAAAACAGAGGAAGCTCTTTGTTAGATGTGACTGTTCAGACCTCTCCTGTACTTTGTCCATAACAACCATTGTATCATTAACCACCTCTGTCAGGTGTATGTGGACATACAGTAGGGAGCTGCCCCAGTTTGAATACAGGGAGAAGTATTACTGCAGCCTTTAGTAGTACATTCAGGTGATATTCTTCATTTCACTTGGTCACAGAACCAGTCAGCCCCATCTGCTGGTGCTGGCTCTATCCAGTTAGCTGCCACACTTTGGCCACTAGTTTAAAACTGAGGAATAATTATTCTGAGAATGGGTGTTGAACTCAAACAGTCCTTGTTGTTCCTGTTTGAGATGAACACGCTCAAGGTCCTGCTTTCTCCAAAGGTCTCACAGACCATTTTTTCCCAGTAAATACAACCGCAGCCCCATCCCTGAGTGTGGAGGAACCTCAGGTGGAGAACCCTGGCTGTGTAGGGTTTAACCCTGCCTCAGCTCCTGCTGGATACTGGGTTTATCCCCAGTGGGATACAAATTCCCTGTGGATCTGTCCACAGACAGAATCCCACTTTGAACTGGGGACAGCCTCAGGAGGGCAATGATGCCCAGTTAGTGCATCCTTCCCTCCCGGGGAACGTGTACCAACCATCCACTCTGGGAATCTCTCACTCACTGACAGTCAGCCAGTGCACACAGTTTCTGCTTTAGTGTCTGAGCTTCCTCTGCCTCTGCCTGCATCGTGAGGTGAATTCTAATCTTCTGCTTGTCCCCCAGAGCTCCACCTACCACCCATCGTCTCAGGACCTCTGACTTTTGACATCGGCCGATTCATCAAACTCGCCGTGCCGAAGATCAATCTCAATCCCTTCCCCTCCGCCATTGACAACTACCCCATTCAGCACGTTCTCATCACTCTCCGACACTCCCCACAGAAATACTTCATCCTGGAGCGCTCATATGTGTCCAACCACGACTGACAGCACCTCTCCCACCAGCCCCGCTCATCTCCCAGCCTCGCTGACAAAACACTGATAGCACTTTACAAACTGCTCCAAATTAGTATCTCTAGGAATAAGGGAATTGTACCAGAGTCTGAATACCCAATTTGTACTGTAACGGATGATTAAACACCCAGCTGGCTCACAACGTCTGGTCTGTTATCCAAGCGATAGCCTTCCCCACCCCAATGCTACAGCACCCCCATGTCTTTGAGGCGGGGGTGGGTGGGGGTGGCAGGGGCTCTTCCCAAGAGTGATGAGGAGGATGGATACCAATCTTGAGGTAGAGCTCTTCGTCACTACCCAGTGACTTAATGCATGAGTGCCAGGCTTGGCAGTGATGCCCTCTGTAGTCAAACAGCTCACCAGACACAGTGGTGAGGAGGTGTGACAGGGACTGGCTCACAGTCACATCCAGGAGGCAGGAGTAGGGACAAAGGAACATCCACAAATGCAACAGCTGATGCCAAGATTCCATGTCAGAATTAAAACAAACCTTAAAATATGAGGCAGGCCATTCAGGGGCAAGGTCAGGCTGATCACCTGGAGGAGAATAGAAATCTGCTTCTCTCTCTGTCCAAACACTGTGGGTCAACTGGAGTGTCAATACAATTTTTTTAATTCATTCCCAAAACATGGGCCCAGCATTTATTGCCCATTTCTAGTTGCCCCTTTAGAAGGTGGGGGTGAGCTACCTTCTTGAGCCGCTGCAGTCCTCCTGCTGTGGGTTGACCCACAATGCTGTTAGGGAGGGAATTCCAGGATTTTGACCCATCAACAGTGAAGGAACGGCGATATATTTCCAAGTCAGGATGGTGAGTGGCTTGGAGGGGAACTTGCAAGGGGTGGTGTTCCCATGTATCTGCTGCCCTTGTCCTTCTAGATGGAAGTGGTCATGTGTAGATGAGACATGATCTGATTAAATTATGAAACATGTTTGAGGGATAAAATAGCTTCTCTCACTGCTCAGCCATAACTTTGAGAACGTTCCCTAGATCACACTTCCTGTGTTCAACTTGTCCCTTTACACTGTCACCAGGATACAGGGGCACTGGAGAATGTGCAAACAGCTTTTACAAGAATGTCAGCACAATGGAAAGGTTATAACCATCAAAAGACTGACCAGCCAGGAGCTCTTTTCTCTGCAAAAATGAGAAGGCTGAACAACAAAAAGTGTTGCACTGAGTGGAGAGGGGCCAGAAACATAAAATCAGAGTTCAGCATGTTCCTGTGAGGATGAAAGATACGGATGGCAAGATTCAGGAAGCCTGGATGAAAAGAGATATTGAAAGTTTAGTCAAATAGATTTCTGAAGAAGGGTCCCAACCCGAAACGTCTGCTTTCCTGCTCCTCTGATGCTGCCTGGCCTGCTGTGTTCCTCCAGCTCCGCACTGTATTGTAAAGGAATAACATGTAAGGTTTAGGAAACTGGAATCAGACAAGGCCGTTGAGTATAAAGAAAGCAGGAAAGAACTCAAACAAGTAATTAGGAGGCCTAAAGGGGGGCCTGATGCCCTTGGCGAGTAGGATTAAGGAGAATCCCAAGGCATTTTAGAGGTATATTAGGAGCAAGAGGGTAACAAGGGATCGGGTACGTCCACTCCAGGACAGAGAAGGGAATTTATGTGTGGAGTGAGAGGAAGTGGGTGAGGTCCTTAATGAGTGCCTCACATTGGTATTCACCTAGGAGAAGGACATGGATGGAGGCAAGATTAGGGAGGGCTGCGGTAATATTCTGGGGTGTATTGATATTAAGAAGGAGGAAATGTTGGGTGCCTTGAAAAACATTAAGGTAGCTAAGTTCCTAGGTCCTGATGGGACCTAATCCAAAATACTGAAGGACACAGGGGAAGAGATTGACAGAAATCTTTGTATCCTCTTTAGCCACTGGTGAGGTCTCAGAAGTTTGGAGAATAATCAGTGTTGTTTCTTTGTTTAAGGGCAAGAGGGGTAATCCAGGTAATTATAGGTTGATGTGCCGTACGTCAGTGGCAGGGAAATTATTGGAGGAGATTCTTAGGGATAGGATTTACCCACATTTGGAAAAGAATGGACTTATTAGGGACAGTCAGCATGGTGTTGTGTGGGGGAGGTTTTGTCTCACAAATTTCATGAGATTTTTTGAGGAAATAATGAATGTGATTGATTAGGGTAGGGCAGTGGATGTTGTCTACATGGACTTTACTAAAGTATTTGACAAGGTCCCTCAGGGTAGGTTGGTCCAGAAGATTAAATTACGTGGGATCCAAAGTGAGTTGGTAAGTCGGACACAAAATTGGCTTGGTCATAGCAGACAGAAGTCTGTGACCAGTAATGTCCCACTAGGATCTGTGCTGGGACCCCTGTTATTTGTAATTGTTTTTGCTAAAGCATCGAAGGTTGAGGGGTGACCTGACAGAAGTGTATAAAATTATGAGGTGCATGGATAGGGTAGACAGTTGGAGTCTTTTTCTTAGGCTGGAAATACCAAATACTAGGAACAAAAAGAACAAAGAACAAAGAACAAAGAAAATTACAGCACAGGAACAGGCCCTTCGGCCCTCCAAGCCTGCGCCGATCCAGATCCTCTATCTAAACCTGTCACCTATTTTCCAAGGATCTGTATCCCTCTGCTCCCTGCCCATTCATGTATCTGTCGAGATACATCTTAAATGACGCTATTGTTCCCGCCTCTACGCAGAGGGTGGTGGGTGCCTGGAATGCGTTGCCAGCGGAGGTGGTAAAGAACTTTCCACACATTTTCCCTTGAACTTTTCCCCTCTCACCTTGAAATCGTGACCCCTAGTAATTGAGTTCCCCACTCTGGGAAAAAGCTTCTTGCTATCCACCTTGTCCATACCTCTCATGATTTTGTAGACCTCAGTCAGGTCCCCCCCCTCAACCTTCGTCTTTCTAATGTAAATAATCCTAATCTACTCAACCTCGCTTCATAGCTAGTGCCCTCCATACCAGGCAACATCCTGGTGAACCTTCTCTGCACCCTCTCCAAAGCATCCACATCCTTTTGGTAATGTGGCGACCAGAACTGTACGCAGTATTCCAAATGTGGTCGAACCAAAGTCCTATACAACTGTAACATGACCTGCCAACTCTTGTACTCAATACCCCGTCCGATGAGTGAAAGCATGCTGTATGCCTTCTTGACCGCTCTATCCACCTGTGTTGCCACCTTCAGGGTACAATGGACCTAAACACCCAGATCTCTCTGTGCATCAATTTTCCCCGGGGCTTTTCCATTTACCACATAGTTCGCTCTTGAATTGGATCTTCCAAAATGCATCATCTCGCATTTGCCTGGATTGAACTCCATCTGCCATTTCTCCGCCCAACTCTCCAATCTATCTATATTGTGCTGCATTCTCCGACAGTCCCCCTCACTATCTGCTACTCCACCAATCTTAGTGTCATCTGCAAACTTGCTAATCAGACCGTCTACACCTTCCTCCAGATCATTTATGTATATCACAAACAACAGTGGTCCCACCACGGATCCCTGGTCACAGTTCTCCACTTTGAGAAACTCCCTTCCACTAAAACTCTCTGTCTCCTGTTGCCCAGCCAGTTCTCTATCCATCTAGCTAGTACACCCTGGACCCCATGCGACTTCACTTTCTCCATCAGCCTACCATGGGGAACCTTATCAAACGCCTTACTGAAGTCCATGTATATGACATCTACAGCCCTTCCCTCATCTATCAACTTTGTCACTTCCTCAAAGAATTCTATCAAGTTGGTAAGACATGACCTTCCCTGCACAAAACTATGCTGCCTATCACTAATAAGCCCATTTTCTTCCAAATGTAAATAGATCCTATCCCTCAGTATCTTCTCCAGCAGCTTCCCCACCACTGACGTCAGGCTCACTGGTCTATAATTTCCTGGATTATCCTTGCTACCCTTCTTAAACAAGGGGACAACATTAGCAATTCTCCAGCCCTCCGGGACCTCACCCATGCTCAAGGAGGCTGCAAAGATATCTGTTAAGGCCCCAGCTATTTCCTCTCTCGCTTCCCTCAGTAACCTGGGATAGATCCCATCCGGACCTGGGGACTTGTCCACCCTAATGCTTTTTAGAATACCCAACACTTCCCCCCTCCTTCTGCCGACTTGACCTAGAGTAATCAAACATCTATCCCTAACCTCAACATCCGTCATGTCCCTCTCCTCAGTGAATACCAACGCAAAGTACTCATTAAGAATCTCACTCATTTTCTCTGACTCTTCGCATAACTTCCCTCCTTTGTCCTGGAGTGGGCCAACCCTTTCTCTAGTTACCCTCTTGCTCCTTATGTATGAATAAAAGGCTTTGGGATTTTCCTTAACCCTGTTTGCTAAAGATATTTCATGACCCCTTTTAGCCCTCTTAATTCCTCGTTTCAGATTGGTCCTACTTTCCCGATATTCTTCCAAAGCTTCGTCTATTTTCAGTCGCCTAGACCTTATGTATGCTAGGGGGCATAGGTGTAAGGTGAGAGGGGAAATACTTAAAGGAGATGTGCGAGGAAAGATTTTTTTTACCCAAAAGGTGGTATCTGCCTAGAATGCACTGCCAGGGGAGGTGACAGAAGCAGATTCAATGGCAATGTTTAAGAGGCATTTAGACACATGAACAGGCAGAGAATAAAAGAATACGGACCACATGCAGGGAGATGGGAATAGTTTAGAATGGCAACGTGGCTGGTACAGACGTAGTGGGCCTCCTCTGGTGCTGTACCATTCTACGTTCGAAGATGTCACAAATAAATCCAGTCGGGTATTCAGAAGAAACCTCTTTACGCAGAGGGTGGGTTGCATATGTAACTTAGGGAGGGACTGAGATGGATAGTAAAGATGCATACAAAGAGAAAGCTGGATAATGGAAAGGAATGTATTGACAGGCCGAATGGCCTGTCTCAGTGTATCTGATGAAGGAAATCAATAATATTCTGAAGATCTGGGAAAGGGTAATGGTAGTAATATCGGAGGAAACATTAGGAAACAGAATATGGACATCATCAGCAATAAGACCTGAACAGACACACCCTTTTCAAACGTAAAATGCAGTTTTTCAAAATGTGAATGAATACTCTCTCCAGGAGTGGAACCCACCCTGAGCACCCACAACATTGACGCTTCACCAAGCGTGTCTGTATCGGAATATATTACATTTATTAACATTTCTTTCTTTGAAAACAATTAAGAAAAGTCATTTGTGCTTCTCAGGTGGTTGATGTCAAGGATGGGGGCCTGGAATACTCCATTGGGTACAGTTCTTCATCAAACACTTCCAGGACAGGGACATCACGGGGTTAGATACAGAGTGAAGCTTCCTCTACACTGTCCCCCATCAAACACTCCCAGGACGGGGACAGCACGGGGTTAAATACAGAGGAAAGCTCCCTCTACACTGTCCCCCATCAAACACTCCCAGGACAGGGACAGCACGGGGTTAAGTACAGAATAATGTTCTCTGTACATTATTCCATATACTCCCAGTGCAGATTCTTGAAAGATTGGACAGAGGGGGAAACTCCTGGAGACTGTACTCTGCATAACCAGGTGCCCCTTAAAAGTGCAACTGTTTAAGATTTTCTAGCCAGGCCACCTCCAGCCTCTCTGAGAGATCGTCTGTTTGATGAACCTGAAACAATTTAAGCCTCAACGCAAAGCTTTGCATCTGGATGGCTACCCAATGCACAGCAGCTGGACATCCATCAGTAAAAGCACAGGTCCACCCTGGCTGCTAGTGAAATCTCTTTCTGGAATGTAGTGTGGAGGGAATGGGTAACTCCAGCTGGTGAGGAAACAATGCTGGATCAGTGAATCAGTGCCCTAGGCGTGCACACACACACACATACACACTGACGGGGGTAGGCTGGTTACAGCGACAGCGTGAAAGGGCTGAGTGGACTGTGTTGCAGCGGCAGGCAGATTAATGAAATTAATCCCCACGCTGCCAGCTGCTTTGGAAGCGTTGCTCATGTAAACAGGTTAGACAGCTGCCTGCTTCACTGAATGCTCAGAGGCACTAACCCCTCTGATCCTGGGATGCTTTTGTTGGTATTCCGTATTGTTTCTGGCAGTCGAGAGCAGCTGGTGTTGAACAGGGAACGGGGGTGGGGAGAGGGTTGGTGTGTTTTTATAGAAATAAAGCCTTTTCTCCCCCTCCAACCCCCATCCGGCCCAAACAGTGAAGTATTTGTAGAGCAGAACAGTCCAGGTTAACGCAATTGTCGGAGCTCAGAGATCAGGCTCCCGAGGAGTAGACATTTAGATCTTTGTCTCCCATCACAGACCATCCTACGTGGGGCTCACTGTCCCATTGCAGACTCTCGAAGCCTCACATCATTTTACAGCATCGCCCGGACTTCTCACTTGGAGCCTCTTCCACAGGAGCCTTGAATTTGACTAGTGGAGGATCGCCGCTCGCTGCAGTGAAGTAGATGGAGTTCTGTTCAGGTGGGCTCGGGTTGGGAGGCTGAGACACAACACTGTCGGCTGACTCTCTAGCCAACTGCTCCTCGGGCACAAGCTGCTTCTGGACCTTAGCAGCTGCCCGCTGCCTCTTCAGGTCAGCCAGTGTGTGGTGAGCTTTCTCCTTGTTCAGGTCAGATGGTGGCTCCTCTCTGCTGACCAGCTGGGAGGATGCGCTCTGGTCCAGGTCCCTGGCGTCCTGCTCAAGAGCACTGGCTGGAACTGCACAGCCATTCCTCAGAGTCAGCTCACCACTGGCCCACCTCACCTCGCTCAGACCCTCATCACCTTTCAGCACGTGGGCAGCTGCACTCTGAAACAGAAAGTGGGCAGACAACTAAACCTTCAGCACAAACCAGGACAGCAATCTGGTGCCGAGGACATTTTAGAACATCATCTAGTTGTTATCATCATTATGCTGCCACTCCAGTGAAAGGCTCACAGACTAGAGATGGAGAAAACTGACTAAATCCTAAATTACTAAATACAAACTAGTAACTAAATTACGTTAAACCTGTGGGCTGCATGATACTGAGGCTTGGGCAGACAGTGGCTGGTGTTGTTTAAAGGAAGACAGACTCATTTTTCACAATCTCACAATGTCCTGAAAACTTTCCCAGCCACTGGTGCACTTCAAAAGGGTCATCAATGTAGGAAACTGGGCAGCTGGTTTACACACAGTAAGATCCCACAAACAGCAACCTTATAATGGTCAAATCTTTTTTTAAAAAATAAAACACTGATTCAGCCCCAACTGGAGAACTATGTCCAGTTCTGGTCACTCCTCTTTCAGAAGAATATGAAGATATCAGAGGGGATGTAGAGAAGATTCACAGGAATGGTTCCAGGGGTGGGGGCCTTTAGCGATGTGGATAAATTAGGGCTTCCCCCCATAGTCCAAAGATGTGCAGGTTAGGTGGAATGGCTATGCTAAATTGCCCATAGTGTCCAGGGACATATAGGACAGGTGGATTAAGGTTATAGGGAAGAATGCTTTTTAGACGGTCGATGTAACTTGATGGGCCCACATTGTTGGGATTCTGTGACTGGAGAGGACAGGGCTGTTTTATTCGGAAATCAGAAGGTTAAGAGGAGATTTGATAAAGGTTTTCAGAATCAGAAGGGGTCAGGGCAGGAGAAACTGTTCCTGTTGACAGAATGGTGAAGAAGCAGGATGCACAGATTTAAAGTATTGGTGAAAGAAACAACAGTGAGAGTGGTTAGGGTTTGGAATACACTGCCTCAGAGTGTGATGGAACCAGGTACAAACAAGAAAGGGGATTGGATTAGTATCTGACAAGGGCTATACAGAACAGACAGAGGGAATGGGAGTAGTTGGCTGTTCCTGCTGAAGCCACAAGGATTAGGGAAGAAAAATTTCAGGTTTTGAGCAGGAAGTAATGAGGAATGCAAGGAAATATTTACTAATGGATGTAATGAGCTAGAACTCACTGCTCATGAGAGTGGGGTAAGTGGAAACAATTGCAAGGGAATTTGAGGGGGAGTTACAGAGCAGTAGGGATTGAATGGGGTGCCTGTACTGCCTACTGAGACATGACCAATAATAAAACCACAGTACATGAAGTCTTTCAATTGTTAGCGCCTAATACCCAGCAATGGGGATCCCTGACCCTGAATACCCAGCAATGGGGACCCCTGACCCTGAATACCCAGCAATGGGGACCCCCGACCCTGAATACCCAGCAATCAGGACCCCTGACCCTGAATACCCAACAATAGGGAGCCCAGCCCCTGACTCAGAGTACTGAACCCAACTTAATGGCCCTGTGAAACTGAATATCTGACACAGTTAATGTGGATAATTAAGAACCTGTCCTCATGAGGTCTTCTCATTCCCTTTGTGACCATTCCCTGTTGAATGCCAGCGAAGGTTCTGGAGATGTTCTACCTGAGTTTCCCATCAGGTACCTCCCTGGGTTTTGCAATCCTGCTAACGAAGTGAGGTGATGATCTTACCGATCCATACTGCTTTAGTTCAGAGTCCGTCTGTGCATCCTCGTCTTCTTCGTCCTGCAGCTCAGGGTCACTCTCCTTGCTGCCCACCTGCTGCCAGACAATGGCCTCCTCTTTGTGCTCCTTCAGGTACATATTGCTCCGCTCTGTGACACTGACTTTACGGACAACCTTCCTGTTAGAGAGAGGACGGGCACGGGAGAGCAAGACAATGACTTCTGTACAATACTGAGTGGAGGTGTGGGGGTGCCAACAGAGAACCGGTTCAGGGAGCTATAGCAGTGGTTGCTAACCACAGCCCGAGTACACAGAGTGTCCAAACCCCTGGCTGGCTGACCAGACACTGACTGAGATCCACATGACTGCAAGGGGCAAGGGGTGGGGGCACAGCAAGATATTGGGAGCCAAGAACAGGGGAGAGGGGAGGGTGGGGCGCCGTGGGCCGTGGACCGGGGTGGGGAGGGGGTACAGGTGAGAGGGAGTACACACCGTGGGCGAGGGGCCAGGAGGGGGCTAGGTGAAGGGAGTGGTCCAGTGCTTGTACATGCAGGGATTTATAATTTTGAATGGAATCATGGATTTAGAGATTTTCTAAAGCCCCGAGGTATCAGCCTCACTGTCCTGTGGACAAATACAATCAAACTGTGCTAATGAGCTCCCACTGGAAGGGGAGAGGTAACAATATTGTTTAATGGCTGGATAATTGAATCAGAAACTCAGTATCTGATCACATTAATAACGAGGTGATGGGACACAGTGACAAACACAATGAGCTGCAGGATCCCAGCCCCCTGCCTGATCCCTCACACCCAGCAATCACAGGAACATCATTGTGGGGGAAAGGGGGAAATCTAAGGGAATTCCTCCCATAAATAACTCTTCCCGTCTCGGCAGGAGAGACCCCCTGGATAACATCACTGAAACGTGATCCCCACACCTGCTTGGAAGCCCCCAGGATATCACTCACCGTCGGTTCCCCTCACTGGATCCCTGACACTTTCTGATCCCCAATCAGCCCCAGGTCAGTACATAGCATTCCTCTGACTGATACACGCCCCTTCCTTCCTGTACTGACCCCTCAGATCCTTATTCCCCTTCGGCTCCCACCACCAGATCCCTGACACTCACTCCCATTGGTTCACTGACCAGGTTTCCCAGATGGTCACCCACCCTCTGCTCCCTGTACTGGATCCCCCTGGGGTGATCACTCACCCTCTGCTCCCTGTACTGGATCCCCAGGGTGATCACGCCCTCTGCTCCCTGTACCGGATCCCCAGGGTGATCACGTCCTCTGCTCCCTGTACTGGATCCCCCTGGGGTGATCACTCACCCTCTGCTCCCTGTACTGGATGTCCGTCGTTGTAAGGCAGTCTTGTGTTTGTCGTGTGACTTCATTATTGCATCGTGTTTGTGTTTCAGTTCCAGCATCTTATTACGAATCTCTTCATCGCCACAGACATCTGGAAATGCAAACACATCACTAAACAGTGCACAGGCTGGCACACTGAGCTGGGGAATGGTGTAGACTCACTGCATTAGACTATCATGTATGAGTGTTGATCAATGTCCACTTGACCATCAATGCCCTCTCAACCACCACAACTAGCACAGGAGACACAAAGTGCTGGAAATGTTCAACACGCCGGCCAGTTTGTGTTCCAGCCCAGTGACCCTTCATCAGAACTCTCTCTCGGTCACTGTCCTGAAGAAGGGTCACAGATCTGAAACGTGAACTCGGTTTCTCTCTCCACACAGGCTGCCACATTTGTTGAGTTTTCCTGGCACGTTTGATTTTTATTCAAGTTTCCAGTATCTGCTTGTGTTACAAACAAATGGCTACCGATTTACAAGGGTCCAAAAGCACAAAACACAACTGCTGTGTTTGACAATGGAACAGTTACAGCTCTTTGAGGTCAATGTTTTGCCTGAGTATTTATATTCCCCCTGTGGTCGTAGACTTGCTCACCGAGCCGGTGTGTTTAATTGGAGACATCTTGTCATCCTGCTCGGTAACACCATCAGTGCGTCTCCAGTGAAGTTGGTGTTCTGTCCCGCTTGTTATTTCTATGCCTCGGTTTGCTGGGCTGGTTGGCATCACTTCCGTTTCTGTTTTTCAGTGGTTTGTATATCGGGTCCACTTTAATGTGTTTGTTGATGGAGTTCCGGTTGGAATGCCAGGCCTCCAGGAATTCCCAGCGTGTCTCTGTTTGGCCTGTGCTATTATGGATGTGCTGTCCCAGTTGAATTTGTGTCCTTCTTTGTCCGTGTGTAGTGAGACCGGTGAGAATTGGTCGTATCTCTTGGTGGCTGGTTGGTGTTCGTGTTTACTTATTGTCAGTTTTCTTCCAGTTTGGCCTATGTAATGTTTCTCACAGACCTTGCCTGGTATTTTGTATATTACATTAGTTTTATTGGTTGTGGGTATGGGATCCTTTATGTTCGTCAGTAGCTGCCGCAGGGTGATTGTCGGTTTGTGACCTACCCTGATGCCTCGGGGTCTCAGTAGTGGTCATCTCCGATATGGCCCTGATGTACGGTAGGATAATCAGTGTGTCTGGCCATGTTGTGTCTTCCTGTTGTGGTCTGTTGTGGAGGTAATGGCGGATTGTGCTTTTTGGGTATCCATTCCTTTTAAAAACTCCATGTAAGTGCTCCTGTTCTGCTCAGCACAATTCCAGGTTGCTGCAGTGTGCAGTGCCTCATTTAAATAATGTCCTGATGCAGCTCTGTTTATGGGTGTTGGGGTGGTTACTGGAGTAATTGAGCATCTGGTCCGAATGTGTGGGCTTTCTGTATTCGCTAGTCTGGAGTTCCCCGTTGTTCTAATGTTCTACCATTATGTCCAGGAAGGGCAGTCGGTTATTGTTGTCTTCTTTTGTGAATTTTATCCTGGTGAGGATGTGGTTTTTGTCTCAGTGGGTTTCTGCCAGTTTTGTGCGTTTGATAATCACGAAGGTGTCATCTACACAGCGGACCCAGGGTTTGGGCTGGACACTGGGGAGCGCTGTCCATTCTGATCTTTACATTACTGCTTCTGCTATCAGTCCTGACATTGGGGATCTCAGTGGTGTTCTGTTGATTTGTTTAAATATACGGCTGTTGAAGGTGAAGCGGGCTGTGAGGCACAGATCCAGCAGTTTCATGGTGCCGTCCTTGTTGATGCTGTTGGTGTCATGGGGTTTCTGCCTTTCTTTTCGTCCAGCAGGGTGGCAGTTGTCTCTTTGGCTGGGTTGATGTTTACGGATGTAAATAATGCTGATACCTCGAAGGATATCATGATCTCGTCCTGTTCTATCCTGGTGTCCTTGATGGTGTTGAGGAATTCTTGGGAGGAGCGGATGGAATGTGTTCTGTTGTCCACTAAGTATTTCCGTTTCTGTTGTAGTTCTTTGGCCAGTCTATTTGTTGGCGTGCCTGGTAGTAAGGCAGTGGGTCTGAGGGGGACCCCTGGCTTGTGTATCCCGGGGAGTCCACAGAAGCGAGCAAACTGAGGCATATAAATAACAAGCGGGACAGAACATCGACAGAGCTTCACCGGAGGCGCGCTGACAATGTTACCGAGCAGGGGGGACAAAACGACTGCAATCAAACCCACCGGCTCGGTGAGCAAGTCTGCAAGCTCATTCACAACCCGAGCTACACACCTTCTCAAACACTTTACATTCCCCCTCCTTAAGTCAGCTGCTAAACCCTTTAAGCAGTCTGATCCACATTAGTGAGACTAGGTTTGATTCCCTTGTGTTGGTTTAACTAGCTTCACCCCAGCTGCTGCTTAACCATAAGGCTGTGAGGGGCTGGGTATATTTAAATAACACATGTTTCATGTTGAACACTTCATGTTGTAACTCAGGGCTTTTATCTTTTCCAAACAGACTTTGCAGCCAAGGGCATGTTGGAATGTGCCCAAACCAACAGAGACAGTTGGTTATTGATCCCTGTTACATCAGAGTGTTAGCTGCCTACTCGTTGTGTTTTTTTAAATTCACTCATGGGAGGTGGGTATTGCTGGCTGGCCAGCATTTATGGCCTGTCCCTAGGGCCCTTGAACTGAATGGCTTGATGGGCCACTGCCCAGACAGCAGTTAAGAGTCAACCACATTGCTGTGGGCCTGGAGTCACATGTAGGCCAGACCAGGTAAGGATGGCAGTTTCCTTCCCTAAAGGGCATTAGTGAACCAGATGGGTTTCTGTGATAATTGGCAGCAGTTTAATGGTCATGATTAGATTCTCAATTCCAGATTATTACTGAATTCAAATTCCACCATCTGCCGTGGCGGAATTTGAACCCTGGCCCCCAGAACATGAGCTGAGTTTCTGGATTAATAGTCTAGCGATAATACCACTAGGACATCACCTACCCTTACTGTAGCATCAGCATCCTTGTAGATTTCTAACTGTCACCATATGCATAGGTACAAGGCCTGTAACGTTCATCCATATAGACACAGAGCTGATAATGAATTTGAGTGGGTATCTGGGGGCACACATGCGATTGTGTGTGTGTGTGTCTGTGTGTCTCTCTGTATGTGTCTGTGCGTGTGCGTGTGTGTGTGCGCCAAGATGCTGCACTTGGGAAGGGTACATAACCGCTCTCTTAGCTCAGTATAAAAGACGGGTGTGGAAAGGTGGCTCATACCTATTGGAGTCTCATCCAGGAAGGATCGGGCATTCAGACTGGCTCCATGAGCCAGCAACAGCTCCACCACATGAACCTGCAACAGTCAGAGGAGATCACAACTGAAACAGGAAATGTACACTATGCATTCTATTCAGACCTAACACCCCGACCCAGGGCATTCACTACCCCGTCTCCTCCTCCTCCTGACCCAGGACAGACCCTTCAGCCTGACCAAGGGCAGCCCCTACGTAAGGCTGTGCCCTTTGCCCCCTCCCAGTGCAGCCCTGCACACCCCCCCACCCCAGTTGGGCAGCTGTCAGTTTCAAGGAGGTGTTTTGCACTGACCTGTCCCCAACAGGCTGCAGCGTGCAGTGGTTCCCAGCCATCAACATCCTTTAAATTCACTTTGGCATTGCGAGCGAGCAGCAGGTTAGCAGCTTCTGTGTATCCATTCGCTGCAGCAATGTGAAGCTGAACAAGAGATAAACACAAACTGAAATACTGGCATCTCTTTAACACCTAGTGACATGGACTGTGTGAAGACTGAAGTGGGTCAAAGAGCGACTGAGAGGGCAGAGGCAACTAAGGAATGGTTCTAGCGCAAAGACTGGTCTGAAACGGTAACCCTATCTCCCAATCCACACATTGTGCTGGACCTGAGTATTTCCTGCAATTTATCACCATCCTGGGGGTTGCCAGTGATCAGAGACTGAAATGGACTCACCATTTACAAGGCACAAGTCAGGAGTGTGATAGAATACTCCCACTTGCCGGCTCAGGGTGTGATGCAGGTGGAGTCTTAGAATCCCTACAGTGTGGAAACAGGCCCTTCGGCCCAACAAGTCCGCATTGACCCTTGGAGCATCCCAACCAGACCCATCCCTCTATAACCCACCTAACCTACACAACCCTGACCGCTATGGGTAATTCAGCACGGCCAACCCACCTACCCTGCACATCTTTGGACTGTGGGAGGAAACCGGAGCACCCGGAGGAAACCCATGCAGACACGGGGAGAATGTGCAAACTCCACACAGACAGTTGCCCGAGGGTGGAAGCGAACCCAGGTCCCTGACGCTGTGAGGCAGCAGCGCTAACCACTGAACCACTGCGCCACCCCAATTTCATATTTTTCATTTCATATTTTTTATCCTTTAATATTTTGAAGGCAGAACTTGACAGAAAGAAGTTGTTAACTAACAATGGGGTCAAACAGTATCAGGTATAGACAGCGATGTGGGGTTGAGGCCACAGCTTAGATTGGCCAGTACCTTACTGATCAGTAGTACAGGCATGAGGGGCTGAATGGCCTACTCCTGCACCTAATGCTTATGCTCCTATAAAACGAAGAACAATACAGCACAGGAGCAGGCCCTTCAGCCCTCCAAGCCACCCTCCTCTAGCAGCACGTTCCAGGCACTCACCACTCTTTGTGTGAAAAACTTACCTCACGCATCTCTTGTAAACTCCACCACACCCCCCTCCCAGTACCTTGAATCTGTACCCCCTAGTAATTGACCCCTCCACCCTGGGAGAATGCCTCATACTTTCCACTCTATCCAAGCCATTCACAATCTTATAAACTTCTATCAGGTCATCCCCTCAACCTCCAGTGAAAACACACCCAGTCTATCCAACCTTTCTTCATAGCTAAAATCCTCCAGACTAGGCAACATCCTCGTAAACCTTTTCTGTGCTCTCCCCAAAGCATCCACATCCTTCTGGTCGTGTGGGGACCAGAACTGTGCGCAATTTTCCAAGTGTGGCCTAAATAAAACTCTTTCAAATCTTCATCATAACTGTCTATCCTTATACTCAAAGCCCATTCTAATGAAAGTGAAAGATTTAGAAGGGATCTAAGGGCAACTTTTTCACACAGAGGGTGGTGTGTGTATGGAATGAGCTGCCAGAGAAATTGGTGGAGGCTGGTACAATTACAACATTTAAAAGGCATCTGGATGGGAATATGAATAGGAAGGGTTCAGAGGGATATGGGTCAAATGCTGGTAAATGGGACTAGATTAATTTAGGATATCTGGTTGGCATGGACGATTTGGATTGGTGAGTCTGTTTCCGTGCTGTATGACTCGAAGATTCATACCAGAGAAGTGCCCACATCATTCTGGCTGTTCAGGTCGGTCTCATTCTCCAATAGCCGCTGTATGTCTTCAACCATCCACCTCTCGGTTGCCATTCTGGATTCATCAATTTTCTCCTGAGTGATATCTGAAAGGAATGAAAACACTTAATGGAATTACGAAGCTATCCCGAGGAATCCTGGGACCATGCTGCAATACCCCGGGATCAGCAGTGATGTGAGGCTCTAACCCATCTGAATGGCAGTCAGACACTGGGCATAACACTAAGGCACAGTGATGCTATCATATTCACACATGGAGGAGGCTCTGTACACCTCGAGTACCCAAGAAGGGATAGTCTTGCATTGTGAGCCATTCAGAGACAGTTCACTTGGCTGATGAAGGTGCTGTCTTATGAAAAGAGATTTGGTCCATACTCGCTCGGGTTGTTCTAGTAAAACATTTGAGATCCTGAAGCAGATTGACAGGGCTGAGATGATGCTCTCTTACAGGGGAATGGAAAGCCAGCAGACAGTTTAAAAATCAAGATCTCCAATGTAACATGATGTGGAGGTGCCAGGTGGAGTGGACAAGGTCAGAAGTCACACAAAACCAGGTTACAGCCCAACAGATGGATTTACAATCACAAGCTTTCAGAGCTCTGCTCCTTCAACAAGTGACGTTCACTTTGTCTGAAGAAGGAGCAGCGCTCCAAAAGCTTGTGATTATAATTAAACCTGTTGGACTATAACCTGGTTTTGTGTGACTTCTGACTTTGTCCTAAATAACGGAAAGCAGAAACCGATTATCTGAAAGGCTGGTAGTCTTTGGAATTCTCTTTCCGAGAAAGCAATGAAGGTTGGATTATTGAACACAATTAAGGTGGAGTTAGAAAAAGGGAGTTGAGGGTTATGGGGAGGTGTAGTTAAAGCATCAGCCACGGTGTTAATAAATAGTACAGCAGGCTCAAGGGGCTGAATGGCCTTTTCCTGCTCCTAATTCCTAGGGGTTTTATGGCTTGGGTGAGAAGAAATAGACTGCCATGGTTCATGAAGATAAACTCTCAAGAGCAACAAAGGGATGGGCCAATCGTGCCAGGAATGAATAAAAAACCTATTGGGGCTGTGTGACCTTCCCACAACAAGAGCCAGCTTTTACAGTCAGGAAATGTAGACATTCAAAGCCACGCACCTTGTTGGGCCATCGCACTCTCGATGTAGTCCAGAGTGACATCATCCTCACACAAGTCGTAAGGCATGTTCCCGTCAGCGTTGACAGCCATGAGATTAGCACCGCTGTGTAAAGAAAGGATCATAGTCAGAAACTAGACAGGGTCATAGAGGGAACTTTGTGCACTTCACCGCGCAGTGAGCAAGCAATACACCAACGTTCCACTGACACTGAAAATGATATGGTGTATTCGGAACCCAACCATAAATCAGAGCATTTACACAGTTGCTCCTGGGCTAGCAGCAGCGGGAAGGAAACCAGGATTGCTAATCCTTACTCATGTCAACTACAGCAATATGTTGGGGTGGAGGACATGGTAATGTAGTGGGTGGGTCACTGGATCAGTAACCTAGAGACTAATGCTCTCGGAGCTGGGCTCAAATCCCATCAAAGAAGCTGGTGGAATTTGAATTTAATTAATTAACCTGGAATATAAACTAATAAACTACTGATGACTATTGTTGACTGTTGTTGACTATTGTAAAAAACTTCATAGCAAAGGAAACCAGCCATCTTTACTCAGTCTGGCCTCCAGATTTTTAGCAAAGTGATTGATTTACCTGCCCTCTGAAATGGCCCAATGAGACACTTGACTCAAGGGCAGTTTATGAAAGGCAGTAAAATGCCGGCCTTGTCAGTGAGAACCATATTTCAAAGAATGCCAAATGTCAACTAAGGAGAGACGGCACTCCGCTGTGATGGTGAAACAAATCCTTACTCATGTGCGATGCCAATGGTCTCCTGAGGAAAACGATGACTTGGTAAGGCACCGGGGTGAGAGGCAAGCCTCACAAAACCATGACAGCATCTACAGAATCCAACATAATCAACCTGTATCAGAGATAGTAGGAACTGCAGATGCTGGAGAATCTGAGATAACAAGGTGTAGAGCTGGATGAACACAGCAGGGTCTAGGCCCGAAATGTCAGCCTTCCTGCTCCTCTGATGCTGCTTGGCCTGCTGTGTTCATCCAGCTCTACACCTTGTTATCTCTTATAATCAACCTGTACCCTGGTACGGTGCGATGCTACACGGGCCTTCTCTCTCTGTTGCCCACTCCCACCCCTTCTCAAACCTGGCCATCCTTCGGCTACAGGGACTTGCGAGTGAAACAGTACGTAACTGTTGGATGAGTTCTTGCACCAGATGTAGATGTCCACACGTTGCGGCTGCATGCAGTGGGGTCCACAGCTCACTGTCACACGCATTCACATCAGCTTTAGCCTCAAGCAGCAACTTGACAATTTCTTCATAGTCATCGATACAGCACTGCAAAACAAGACAGGGAATGGAGTCAGGCCTGTTACAGCATTAACTATTAAACCGAAGAAGGGCCAGTGGGCAGCAGTCTGAAGCCTGCTCCCTTAGCAGCATGAAAACAGCAGGCTAAGCAGCATCATAGGAGCAGAAAGGCTGACGTTTCGGGCCTAGACCCTTCTTCAGAAATGGGGGAGGGGAAGGGGGTTCTGAAAAAAATAGGGACAGAGGGGGAGGCGGATGGATAGAGGAGAAGATAGGTGGAGAGGAAACAGACAGGTCAAAGAGGTGAGGATGGAGCCAGTAAAGGTGAGTGTAGGTGGGGAGTTAGGGAGGGGATAGGTCAGTCCAGGGAGGATGGACAGGTCAAGGGGGCGGGATGAGGTTAGTAGGTAGGAGGTGGGGGTGCGGCTTGAGGTGGGAGGAGGGGATAGGTGGGAGGAAGGACAGGTTAGGGAGACGGGGACGAGCTGGACTGGTTTTGGATCCATTTTCTCCCCCTTGGTCCAGGAACTCCCTACCTATGTCCGTGACACCACCCACGCCCTCCACCTCCTCCAGAACTTCCAATTCCCCGGTCCCCAACACCTCATCTTTACCATGGACATCCAGTCCCTCTACACCAGCATTCCCCATACAGATGGCCTAAAGGCCCTCTGCTTCTTCCTGTCCCGCAGGCCCGACCAGTCCCCCTCCACTGACACCCTCATCCACTTAGCCGAATTCGTCCTCACCCTCAACAACTTCTCTTTCAATTCCTCCCACTTCCTATAGACAAAGGGGGTGGCCATGGGTACCCGCATGGGCCCAAGCTACGCCTGCCTCTTTGTAGGTTACGTGGAACAATACCTCTTCCGTACCTACACTGGCCCTAAACCCCACCTCTTCCTCCGTTACATTGATGACTGTATCGGCGCCTCCTCGTGCTCCCACGAGGAGCTCAAACAGTTCATCCACTTCACCAACACATTCCACCCCAACCTTAAGTTCACCTGGACCATCTCTAATACCTCTCTCTCCTTCCTGGACCTCTCTGTCTCCATCTCGGGCAACCACCTAGAAACCGATATCCATTTCAAGCCCACCGACTCCCACAGCTACCTAGAATACTCCTCCTCCCACCGACCTTCCTGCAAAAATGCCATCCCCAATTCCTTCGCCTCCGCCGCATCTGCTCCCAGGATGAGGCATTCCACTCCCGTACATCTCAGTTGTCCTCATTTTTCAAGGACCGTAACTTCCCCCCCTCAGTGGTCGAGAACACCCTCAACTGTGTCTCCCACATTTCCCGCAACTCATCCCTCACACCCCGTCCACGCAATAAGAACCAAAAAAGAATCCCCCTCGTCCTCACGTTCCAACGCATCATCCTCCGACACTTCCGCCATCTGCCATCCGACCCCACCACCAAAGACATCTTTCCCTCCCCACCTTTATCTGCTTTCCGGAGGGACCACTCTCTCCGTGACTCCCTTGTCCACTCCACACTCCCCTCCAGCTCCACCACACCCGGCACTTTTCCCTGCAACCGCAGGAAGTGCTACACCTGCCCCCATACCTCCCCCCTCACCCCCATCCCAGGCCCCAAGAAGACTTTCCACATCAAGCAGATGTTCACCTGCACATCTGCCAATGTGGTATACTACATCCGCTGTACCCGTTGTGGCCTCCTCTACATCAGGGAAACCAAGCGGAGGCTCGGGGACCGCTTTGCAGAAACCTACGCTCAGTTCGCAATAAACAACTGCACCTCCCAGTCGCGAACTATTTCAACTCCCCCTCCCATTCCTCAGACGACATATCCATCCTGGGCCTCCTGCAGTGCCACAACGATGCCACCCGAAGGTTGCAGGAACAGCAACTCATATTCCGCTTGGGAACCCTGCAGCCCAATGGTATCAATGTGGATTTCACAAGCTTCAAAATCTCCCCTCCCCCTACCGCATCCTAAAACCAGTCCAGCTCGTCCCCGCCTTCCTAACCTGTTCTTCCTCCCACCTCTCCCCTCCTCCCACCTCAAGCCGCACCCCCATCTCCTACCTACTAACCTCATCCCACCCCCTTGTCCTGTCTGTCCTCCCTGGACTGACCTATCCCCTCCCTAACTCCCCACCTACACT